ACCAGCATTTTATACCCCTCCGGGCAGGCCTGATGTCTAACACAGATCCTGCCTAATGGCAGATGCTCAGTGCATGCTATGGAATTTGAATCTGGCCCCTGGGGACCTGATTCTGAAGTAGGAAGTCACTTTCCCTTTGAGGTGGACTTTGCACCTGTTAAGGAAGATGCGCTGTGATTGGGCATATCTGTCCCCATCCCTCTCCCCTGTGGCTAAGCTTGGTTGGAGGTTACTTGAAGAGCCACAGGGAGACAGGAACAGAGGCTGGGGCCAGCGTCCTTGCCGAGGTCCCTAGGGGGAGATAAGTTTCCTTGCACCCCTGTAGGCCGCACCGGCCAGCCATCTGCCATGTTCTTCTTGGCGAGCCTGGACCCCCTTCTCAAGGTGGTGACATTAAGGCTGTGGGTGTGGGACAGTGCAGAGGAGGCCCACTGGTGAGCAGTGAGGAAAGAAGCAGTAGAAACAACAAACACATAGACTAGAGGAGGAGCTGCCAAAACAAACCAAGCGCAAAGGGCCGCTGGCCGCCACCTCGGCCAGGCCCAGGCTGTGAGCAGAGCACGGAGGCAGAGCACATACGTGCTGGGAGACACACAGGCCAGCCAGCTTCCTGCCTCCCCACTCTGCTACTGAGGGATTGCAGTTAAGGCTGACAGAGGGGCCACAGGGAAATGCTAGCAGCCTTGTCACCTTCATGTCCCAGTACCTTCTGTTTTCTCTACCGCTGAGCCACACCCAGCCCTACAGTACCTTGTTTTCTTTCTTTTGGTGGAACCGGGGATTGAACTCAGGCCCTTGCACTTGCCAAGGAAGTGCTCATTCCACTGAGCCATCTCCCCGGCCCAGTACCTTCTGTTTTCTAACCACCTTGTGTCCTTCCAGTCCCTGAACAGCCCACCAGGTATTTGTGAAGCTCCCCTTAACCTCTCTGCCAGATTGCCTCTTTCCCTGTTTTTTACCTGGTGAATGCCTATTCATCCTTCAATGCTCTAATCAAAGGTAAAACCTTTTGGGTCCCCATCATTTATGACAGCTACTGTTATTTCCTCCACATCTTTTTTTTTTTTTTTTTTTTTAATAGGGTCTTGCTACACAGTTCAGACCTAGCGATCCTCCTGTCTCAGCCTCCCCAGTGCTGGAATTACAGGCATGTGCCACCACACCCAGTTTTGGAGCTGGCATGGCAAGCAGTACCAGGGATCAAACTTGGGTCCTTGCACATGCCACACACTGAGCTATCATCCCAGCCTTCTTCCACATCTTTTTTTTTCTTCCACATCTTATTCAGAAAGCTTTATCACTTGAGAGGCTGAGACAGGAGGATTGTTACGCGTTCAAGACCAGCCTCAGCTACAAAGTGAGCTCAAGGCCAGCTTGAACTGCATAGGGAGACCCTGTCCCAAAAAAGACAAAAGTAAAATAAAATCAACCTTTCCAATTAGATGTTGAGCTCCTTACATGAAGGAGTTGTATCATATATACAAACCAAAGGAAGGAATTTTGGTAAACTAGGAGCTATTAGTTTCAGATTTATTTATTTATTTATTTATTTATTTATTTTCAGAACTGGGGATTGAACTCAGGCCCTTGAGCTTGCCAAGCAAGTGCTTACTCTACTGAGCTATCTCCCTGGCCCCCCTAGTTTCAGGTTTTAACCAAATGACTTTATAACTAGAGTAAAATATATTTGCTAAGACTTAAAAGATTTTCGGCTACTAGAATCTTTTAGAATATTTTGCTGAGTTTACACACCTATAATATTCAAATAACAGAACTTAACAAAAAAAAGGGGATACAGATGAATGTCCATTTTGTATCTGTGTATTCAAAATGGTTAGGATGGGGGGAACTACCCACTCAAGCCCCCCCCATCCCTCTCTCGGGACAGGAGCTTTCTTTCTCTCAATAAATATATTCTGCTCAAAAAAAAAAAAAAAAGTGGTTAGGCTAGATATATAGTTACATTCTCTTAATGAATAGAGGGATTTGTTCTAATGGTGTTTGTAAATAGGATATCATGTCCGCATCTTGTACAGCAATTAACCACTAAGAAGAATGTCTGCAATGTGTTAATTATTGAAACTGGCTGAGGCCGAGGAGATGGCTCAGTGGAATGAGCGCTTCCCTGGCAAGTGCAAGGGCCTGAGTTCAATCCCTGGTTCCACAAAAAAAAAAAAAGAAAAGAAAAGAAAAGAAACTGTCCTACCAATTTGGTTTGAAACTGTCTCATTGCTATTTGTTTCTCAGTAAAACTATGGGAAAAAAAAATAATTTTTTAAAAAAAGATTTCAAGGGGCTGGAGAGATGGCTCAGTGGTCTAAAGCACCTACTTGGAACAAACTTGGCAAAGCACAGAGACCGCGGTTCGATCCCCCAGCACCACATGCCAGCCAGCCCCGCCCCCTGGTGGGCTGAGCTGGCCACACACACACACACACACACACACACATAAATAAATGTTAAAAAAAATTAAAAATAAAAAAAAACTTAAAAAAAAAAGATTTCAAGCTCTTTTCTGTTACTTTTGTTTTTGGTTGAGACATGGTCTTGCTGTGTAGTTCAGGCTGTTCTTGAACTGACTGCTCAACCCAGGATGGCCTCAAACTCAAGACAGTCATCCTACTTCAGCTTCCCAAGTGCGCTGCCACGCCCAGCTTTTTTTGTTGTTGTTTGAGACAGGGTCTTGCTATGTAGTACAGGCTGGCCTCAAACTTTTGATCCTCCTGCCTTAGCCTCCCAAGTACTGATTAGAGGTGTGCACCACCACACCCAGCAAGGGTTTCAGACACATCACTTCAAACAACAGGAGAAGTCACAAGTCACACCCTAACTGGTACCTGTGTGCACACAGTTGTCCCTTGGTACGGAAGGCTCAGTTCTGGGATGATCCTGAGGGAATAAAAATAAGAACGCTGTCTTCTGTTAAATAAATGTATTTGTACAGAACCCACCCATATTGTCCATCCAACAAACTATCTGTGGACTACTTATACCTAACACAACATAAGTACCTAATGCACCACAGTGCTTAGGGAATAGTGAGAAGTATGTGTGTGTTCAATATGGAATTGGTTTTAGTATTTTCAACTAAATCTGAAGTGCACAGCTTGAGGATACAGCACTGACTGTATATGCCTAAAGCTTCCATATAACATTACCATTTAATTGACAAGTTACAGGTTTGGGGAGATAGCGCAGCAATCTAAGCACCTGCCTGGCAAGCACAAGAACCCAGGTTTGATCCGTAGTATGAAGTGCTGTGCCAGCCTAGTGCCAAGCCCGCCACCAAAACTGGGCACAGTGATGCATGCCTGTAATGCCAGCAGTGGGGAGGCCGAGACAGGAGGATCACTACCAGTTTGAGCTGTGTAGTGAGACCCTGTACCAAATAAATGATTTTTTAAAAAATGAGTTACTTTTACTTTTTTTTGCAGAACCAGGAATTGAACTCAGGCCCTTGCGCTTGCCAGGGAAATATTTATTCTACTGAGCCATCTCCCTGGCCACTTCTTTTTTCAAGAATAAAACTGTGACCCAATATACTGAAGGCCCAAAATGAGTCACTACCCCCACTTGATGAATGCTTGAGATGACTCTGGTTTGATGTGAAAAATATGGTTTTCCCATAAACTTTTTTTTTTTAAATTATTTATTTATGTGTGTGTGTGCGCGCGCCAGCGCAGCCCACCAGGGGGCGGGGCTGACTGGCATGTGGTGCTGGGGGATTGAACCGCGGTCCCTGTGCTTTAGCTAAGCTTGTTCTAAGTAGGTGCTTTAGACCACTGAGCCATCTCACCAGCCCCTCCCATAAACTTCTAATAGCTGTTCCCCACAGTTAATTATTCTGGGGAAGATGTCTTTATGCCTCTGTATAGTCCAACCAGGAAAGGTTCTGTCTGGTAGCTGCCTGGGAGCCAATTAAAATCAAAACTCATTTCCTCAGTATTCAGGAGGCTGAGGCGGGGGGATCTTAAGAATTTAAGGCTGGGGGCCGGGAAAATGGCTTGGTAGAATAAGCGCTTGCCTGGCATGCACAAGGGCCTGAGTTCAAAACCCCAGTTCCACCAAAAAAAAAGTTTAAGGCTGTCCTGGGCTGAATAGTGAGTTCAAGGCCAGTGTGAACTGCATAGCAAAACCATCTCATAGGGGGCCGGGGAGATGGCTCAGTAGAATAAGTGCTTGTCTGGCAAGTGCAAGGGCCTGAGTTCAATCTCTGGTTCTAAAAAAAAAAAAAAAAAAAAAAAACATCTCACAAACAACCCCTACCACGTAACCTACATTAAGGTGGCCCGAAAGTCTCAGTTCACACACAGCCTCCTGGAACCTTTACTTTTCCAGTGCCTGGGAATCACCATCAGAAAGAAGTCTAGGGCTGGCGAGATGGCTCAGTGGTCTAAAGCACCTACTTAGAACAAGCTTAGCAAAGCACAGGGGGACCGCGGTTTAATCCCCCAGCACCACATGCCAGCCAGCCCCGCCCCCTGGTGGGCTGAGCTGGCCACACACACACACACACACACACACACAAATAAATAAATAAAATAAAATAATGGCCACTTTACCTACCCAGTCTTCCTAAGACCATGACAAATTTTAGGCAAACATTGGGATTGGCTGGCTCCTATATTAAATAGCTCGTTCGGCTGGGCATGGTGGTGCATGCCTGTAATCCCCATACTTTGGGAGGCTAAGGCAAAAGCATTTTAAGTTCCAGAGCAGCATGGGTAACTCAGCAACTTAGTGAGAACGTGTCAAATAAGATAAAATGGCCTGGGGATGAACCTCAATGCCTTGGGTTCAACTCCTACTTCTGGAAAAATCTAGCAAAACATCCAGCTTGTTTTATGTTACATTACCTGCAATATAATCTCTGGACTCCATGAAGGTGGGAAACAGGGTTCTCTCCAGGACCTAATACTTCTAGAGGTTTCCTACTCTCCCTACTCAGATTCACACAGAATTACATAGGAAAGAAGCAGCGCCAGTGAGTGGCAGGGCAACAACACAACTTCGTACTTTTTATTGTCCTGGACAAGAAAAAGCCACTGCTTGGGCCCCATAAGAAATTACTGTCCCACCCTCAATTCAGTCTTTTGGGCTTCTTACATGGCTCTCGCAGGTAGTCTGTGACAGTACTTAGCACCTAAGAGTCAGGACAGCCACGTTGGGACCGAACTGTGTGTGGCTTCATTTCAATTACTTGGGTGTGACCCTGAAGACCCGGATGTGGATGGCTGAGTTGTTTCGGGTTCGGGTTAGGGGCTCCCGCGTATCAGTCTCCGGTTCCAGCTCATCCACAAGCTCCACAGTGGAGGTGTTGGCAGCGACCTGCAAAGACCCGAAGCTGCCCGCCTGCAGCTGCAGGGCGATGTTGATGGCACGGTTGATGGCCAGGCCCAAACCGTGAATGTAGATTTCAGTGCACGCATTCTGACCCCGCGCCCCTCCGTCCAGCAGCTTCTGGCAGCGGGCCAGCTGGGCCTTAAAGTCCGTCTTCATGTTGACGTAAATATCATTGGGTCTCCGGGGCAGGCGGTGGGGAAGGCGTTTCCGAAGGGTGTACTCCACCGGGTCCAGCTCAGCCTCGACGGCCCCACGGGGCTCCCGGTTTTCAGCCATGCTTCGGGAGCTGCCATGAGATCGGAGAGATCACAAAACAACTTAGCATCCCTTCCTACCCTACTTCTGTAAAGGGGGCATGCTTCATGCCTCTCCCCTTTGAGCTTCTCAGTTCTCATTCATTCGCCGCGTCACCCCAACCTCAAGCCCCACCGCCACCCCCTTCCCCGGCTCAACAGTGCCTACCCTTTCCGCTCCACAGCGTCCTCCAAGCCGTGCGCAGCCCGTTCTCTGCCAAGCCACTCAAGAGCTCGCCGACCGGCCGAACTGGAGACCGCCGCCCGCGACCCGTAAGGTCGGAGAGAAGAGGAGAAAGAAGAGAAGCAGAGCGCAAGCAGAACGCCAGATCGAAGCGCCAAGAAGAGCTACGGAGTGCGCACGCGCCCCACGACCCCCTGCCTCGCGCCGCATCGCCTTCCGGCAGCCATTCTCCCCACCCCTCCGCTGAGCACTCGCGCGACCTCTCGAGTTTGGCACCGCGAGACTTCCCAGCATGATGAGGTCTATACACGTGCGCCTGGGCGGGGCGAGGTGTCACGGGGCGGGGCTAGATGGGGCGAGCGTTCCTAGCGGAGTTTGTGGCGCGCAGAGACCGTGCTGGAAACCATTCTAGGGGTGCAGAAGATAGGGAATGGGGGTGCAGGCAGGGAGCGGCGTGAGTTTAGTAGTACGTGGTTTAGAAGAGACTTAAAAGTAAGCTGGACTCTGCGTCCTTCGAGTTCCCCGGGTCAGCAGAGGCTTGGGTGGAGCAGACCTCTTGTCCAATATCTCTGGGGCCCGGGCACTCGGTTCGTGGGGACCTTTCTTTCCCTGTACGCGGGGACTCACGGCCTGCGTCCAGCTTCCACAGCTCCTCACCCCGCAGCCGTCGCCTCGGGTCTGTGGCCGGTGACCCGGGAGCAGGAGCTTGCCGCCCCCTACTGGGCAGGCGAGCTTCCTGGCTCCCCAGGCTAGTGGGGCTGGGTTCTGGCCCAACACTGAATGGCATCCGCTGCGCTCAGTTTTTCTTTTGAGATAGGACCTGGCTAAATTGCCGAAGCCTTGCTTGAATTTGGAATCTTCCCGCCTCATCCTAGAATTTCAGTTGTGCCCCACCACGCCTAGCTTCCTTCCTTTCTGGCCAGTTCCCTCTGGAAAGAGAACCTTTGTATTTGGCTTCCCTGTCACTCAAATGAGATACTAATATTCCTGCGTTGTCACTGAGTTGTGGAAGCAGTGTAACCCTGCAAACTGTAAGCCTGCACATGTGAGTTGGCATCTTTCTGACCCCCAAACCATTCTCTAGCTTCCTGGGACATAGTCTTAACTTCATTTGATCCAGGGTTAGACAGTTTTGCTCCTACTGCCGAATAAATCGCGGCATTTTCTTCTGCTCCAAACTCTTTGTTAACCACGAATTAAAATGTAAGATTCAACATAGGAAAGAGATCAGTTCTTTCCAGATTGATCGGTATGTTTAATAACTACAAAAATGTCAGCAAGTACTTTTATGTCGCTGGGTCTCCTGGGCAGGTGGTGGGGAAGGCAGCTGTATTCTAAAATTTAAATAGAGAAAGGGAGCGAGATGTGTTGTCTGAATGTAATTTGAGTACTCAGGAAGCTGAGGCAAGAGGATTATTAGGAGTTAAAGATCAGCCTGGGGGGCCTGGGAAATGGCTCAGTGTTAATAAGCGCTTCCTTGGCAGCACAAGGGCCTGAGTTCAATCCCCAGTTCAGAAAAAAAA